CTGGGACAGTGTTTAATGTGCAAGAAGACATATTTCTTGTTTTTGTTTACACTGACAATTCTGAATGTTACGGTGGCATATAGTGTGAATCTGTGATGTGTAATATAAATATCTCTCCAGGAATAGTGTAGTATGTAAATAAATCTCCATTAAAAGAGTAAGCAAATTTGGGTTTCTTACTTTTTCAGAATTTCTGGACTGTCTTTATACTAACGTACCATATTCCAGTCCAGGCTTCCCTCAGCAATAGCAATTAGTCATGTTGAATTGATCATTAGTAGACCGAGAAATATTAGAACAATACTGAGAAATACTTTTAGCAAACTGTGACCTAAACCAGAACCAGAGCTCTGTGCCCTTGAGACAAAAGGTAGTTCCCTTTTCCATATTTCTCCCCTAAGAGAGTTTAATTTATCTGCTTGCTTGCTTGCTGAGAGTCAGTGAATTGGGAACTCTTCAGACAGTGCTATAGAAAACAATCATCCTCCCATACATCACTTACCTGGCTGCCACCATTGATAGTTTCACCAAACCATACGTGCTTCATGTCCCTGGGATTCTTGTTGATATACCAATTCTTAGCGGGAATATGGTCAGGGTTGGCGTGGATGCAAGTCTCACCAGTGGCAAAGTCACAGTATACTCTAATGGCATCTGCAGAGCAGCCTTGGTTGGGATCAATCCAGTAGAAGCCTACCATTGAGGAAAGAAATGTGGACAGTAGTTCACTCAGCTTAACCTTTGCATTCAGTTCATATTCACTTGTCTGATATAGGAACTCAGAGAGAGGCCACAAATATCACAGCTAGGACCAATATTAATGTGATAAGTGGGATGCATATTTTGGATTGTTAATGTATAAGCAACTGTATTTGAAATCTAGAGTTAAGTATTTTTGCATTATTTTGAAAAATTATTGGAATAATGTGCAGCAATAGCAATAAAGAGCTTTTCAGAATGTAACTATTTTTAGTGTAGACAGCAATAACTTCTCCTTTGTCACTTAGTATTTTTGCCAGGTGGCCAAGGAGGCCATTCAAAGAAATGAGCCAGAAAGGGCAAATATCTGGCACCAACATACCACTACTCCATTCTGGGTGGCTAAGTCTTAGGTCACGACAAGTGCGAGCTGGGTTCTTTTTGGAGCCTTCTGGGGTCAGCAGGGTCTCAATTTGGTTGTTCAGTGTTTTCAGAGTGGCATCAACTTCATAATCCTTGGGTCTGAGAGAAGGCTGATCAGCCCGGTAGTATTCTGCATCAAAGCCAACTTCATATCCACCACCATTGGGACCAGGGGGACCAGGGGGACCAGGAGGTCCAGGAGGACCCTAAAGTTTTTCAAAAGCAAAAGACAAGAGGTATTCTGTTAGACATATTTTTCTCTCCATTAAATGCTTCCACAGATGCATAGTCCTACTTAACTCCTGGCACCCTTAACTCTAATCAGAGGCAGCACATATGGACTTGCCCTGTGGTGATTGCTATGGACTGAAGCAGTGCAAGATGCACAGTGTAGGACTACCACACCTCTTTTGTGTATTTGCTATCTGGCTGTAAAGGAGTGAATAAGGACTTCAAGTTTAATAGAGACTTCAAGGACTAATAGAGAAATGCTTAGATATTTTTTTAAAATAAGTAAACCCACATATATTCCTACACTGCTAGGCTTCTAGTGTGACATAAATGTGTTAAATCAACAAAATGAGAGTTATACTCACAGCAGGACCTTGACTACCATGAGAGCCACGCACACCAGCAGGGCCAATAGGTCCAGGGAGACCATTACGACCATCTTTACCAGGAGGACCAGAGGGACCAGGTGGACCCTAACAGGAAATTTCAACAGTTTAATGACAGTAAGAACACTGCAAATAGAGATTCATATAAATGGGAGTGTACATATATATTGCACAAAAGTAATGGGAGAATTATTAGAATATGCTCTGAAATTCACATACCCTTGGACCAGCAGGGCCATTGTTACCAGGAGGACCTTGATCACCATGTTGTCCCTATTAGGAAAGATATATGCATAGTCATTAAAAAGTGCAGTGGCACATGTTTGTATTTGCATGATTCATTTGCATGATTTATTAGTAGAGTTGGGATGTAAAATGCTTGTTTTGGGAGGGAAGGAGAAAAGGTGTAGAGAGGTATTTAATGGGATAACCTATAAAATTCTCTATATTGTTTCTTCAGGTTTTCAGAATTCCCAAAAGGTAATACCTCAATTTAAAAGGGAAGAAAATTCATAAATTACTTCTGCTTCTCTGATACAGAGGCTTTACAATTTCTGGCCAAAATAAGAAATAAGACTAAAACAAAGATAGAGTTTTTTTAATTCTGTGCTAGCCAAATGCAGTTGAGTTTCAAGGCAACTAATAGTACTCATAGTTCTAAAGCCATTAAAATAATTAATTATTAAATTATTAATAAAAGCCTATTAAAATTTGCCATTTCATATGAAAAGCATTGAGTGTTAAAGAGACTCTTAATGGCCTTTGAAAGATGATGCAGAATGGAGTAAGTGGTATCAATCTGCTGGGTTGTGCATATATAATTCCACCCTAGGGTGACCTTATTTCCTCTTTTTTTTTAAACTCTTTATATTCAAAATACTAAAAATCAATTACTTACAGCCAGACCAGGAAGACCCTGTAATCCATTGTGTCCCTTCAAGCCAGGCAGACCTCTAGGACCCTTGTCACCAGGTAGACCTTTCTCACCACGTGGACCTTGTGGGCCCTAGGAAGGAACACAGTTGTCAGAGGAATAAACATAAGCATTCTATATTATGCCATAGGTTGCCCCAATATGTATAAATTACATCCTGTTAACACAACCAGGAAAAGTGCCAATCCCAAAAGTTTCAGGACCAGTCCCATAAAAGAGAATGGTGATTGAGATTCTAGATCCATAAATATTTACAGGTCCTAAAGCACTACTTTTTGGGTCAGTACCTTGAGCAGAGTCATGAGTCCTTATTAATAAAGTATGTTTTCTCTTCTTGCATCAATGTGGTAATGTACTTAAAAATCAGACTTACAGCAAGACCTCTTGGACCAAAAGCACCAGCAGGACCGACAACACCAGCAGGACCCTGAAACAAGAATAGAAAATGCATGTCACTGCTGTATACTATTCTAATGAAGGTTCCATGCTCAACAGATTTCTGCAGAAGGTGATTATCCACACACTGTAGAGATGTGAGGTATTTTATGGACAAATCTTAGTCTTCTTAGACCTTAATGAAAAAATTAAGGTTTCATCAACTTACGGGTTCACCACGGTTTCCAGGCTTTCCAGAAGGACCAACTTGGCCATGAGGACCAGGAGCACCCAGAGCACCACTGGGACCAGGACTACCAGGAGCACCGCGCTCACCCTGGGAACAAAGGAACACAACAGGAGACACAGTGTGTTACTACTGACTTAGACATATTGGAATATTTCTTCCATGATAATGAAATAAAATAAAAAAAAAGTTACCTTGAAACCAGGAGCACCATCACGGCCTGGAGGACCATCGTTTCCAGGATTGCCCTGTTAAAATACCATGAAAAAAATACTAAATTCCATCACCTTTCATTTCACAAGGAACTGTGTGTCACACTAATTGCTTCCAATGACAGTAAGAAGACATTGAATGGGATAGTATTAAACTTGAAGACAAAAAGGTCTTCCTTATAGATACTATTCTCAAATCCCTTACATATATTAATTTTCTCAGAAAACTAAATTACTTCGCTGTAGTACTTCACAAGTTTAAATGGCTTCCTTCGTGAATGTTAATCTCACTTCACCTGTTTCACTGTGTACAAAAGCAAACCTTTTCCTTCAGAAAATTCCAATGTAAGAGAAAGTTGGTTTCTTTTTAATTATTATTCTCTGTTCTCTTTGAGATCCTGCAAGTCTCAGGACTTGCAGGTGCCCTGTATTAAAAATACTTCAGGTTATCAAATATGCTCCCCTTCCCTTTCCCCCTCAGGGAAAGCTTTATATAGTTCTCCTAACAGGAAACAAGGCAATGCATTAGTATTTTACTTGAACTGTTCTCAAAGTGTAAGTCATTTATAGCCACTGTATGGACACCCTGCTTTAAGGTGAACTACTAACTTGGATGGTTAAATTGAATGGATAAGTTTATTTGCTACTCTATGAAGGTGTTGGAGCAGGGCTCTGTTCTTCAAGTAATCACCCACAAGGCAGTACGTTAGAGGGAACAATTTGTTCCACTCCAGTGTTCCCACATTCCCCCTTCTGCACAGGGCTCACGTCACCATTGTGCCTTAACCTGCAGTTCAGCAGTACCTGCCACACAGGCCAGAGTTGGCTCTGTAGTGTTTTTACCCCGCAAACTTACTTTACCTTTTGTGGGGAGGGAATGCACATTGGGAAACACCATGTAGCTCAGCCACAATGTTTAAGTGTATCTGTTTTGTGAGGACTCCAAAACAGTGCTGATTGTTGCACAACTCCAAAAACTGAATTACAACATTTTGTGTAATGTGCTTCATAGGCCTTCTGAGTGGCTCTTAATTTTAAAAAGCTCTGTCTTTAATACCATGAATCACTAGATACCTCAAGTAAAAGTGACTGCAATTTTTATACTTCCCTGAAAGATATGTATAATGTGTCTTACATGATGTTTAAGAAAATTTGTTGATAAACAAGGCTTTTGTGATATATTCTTCTCTATAGCCAAGGTACATCCCCTGGAATGTACTATTTGTTCTCAGTTCCAATAATGAAGTAATCTTTTCCCCACTCCATCTTTCTTGGCAATTAAGTAAAAAAGTCAAAAGATTCCGATAGTGACTCCAGAATGTATTTCAGACATAACTTGTGCCTTGAAGAATTTGTCATCTAGCTGAGGATGGGAATCTATGTCCATAAAAATCCTGATATAATTTTCTCTGAAGACATTGCAAGGTACAAGTTTGCTAGCAGAACAATCTTCAGTTCCATTCACTTTTTCTGTGTATTTGTCTTTGCCTCAGAATAAAAGAAAAGCAACCTGAAGTGGAAATAAGACAGCTTACATCACGTCCAGCTTCACCAGGAGCACCATTTGGACCAGGAGAACCCACAGGACCAGAAGGACCACGGGCACCAGGAGGACCAGAAACACCCAGGGGACCAGGTTCACCCTAATATAGGAACAGTGGTAACAAAATGTGACATTATAATACAAAACAAACCAGTCTTACAGAACTTTTGGCCTTTACCTAAGAGAAATATTTCTCTGCAACCAGTTCAGGAAGTGAAAAAGAATCAAGAAATGTGAAACTTATCTAACTATATCAAATATTATCTTCATTCTAAATTTTACTATCAGAAACCTCTGATAAGAGTCAGAAATATGGTCACTTACTGACACAAGTCTTGTTTGTCTGCAACAAGTCATAATTTCTTCCATTGCTCTAAGTCTGTTAGGTTCATATCTTCTGTTTCCAGCAGCAATGGAAAGAGGAGAATCTACATCTCCTTTTGCCTGGCTTCCCATAAGAGGGGACCTCAAGTGGTTTTTTGTTGTTGTTGTTGGGGTTTTATTTGTTTGTTTGTTTTTTGTGGTTTTTTTACACATTATCTGTTTAAAGAAGTTTACTAATCATATACTCACTGTTGCTCCAGAGATGCCTGGAAGACCACGTTCTCCCCGAGAACCAGGCAGACCAAGAATACCAGGAGCACCAAGAATACCCTGAGGACCTGGGGTACCAGGAGGACCCTGTGATGTGAAGAGAATAATTTTTATATTACAAGACAATAATAAATTTAACATACATGTCTGCCAATGATACTGAAGATTTCATTCTCAGCTGCAACTTCTGCAGATCACAGAAGACATTTCTATAATTTTTTTGTTGAGAAACAATGGTAGTATTTCACAGAGGTGCTCACTTCAATAAGACAGAAATGTGTATGACCTTAAAAAAAGCCAGTAATTCAGATGTGCAAGCTTAAAAGATACTCAAAATTAATTAATTTATTTGCATAGTTCTAAGTCAACCTGGGGGCAGACAACTTTAACATCATGATCCCCGCAAATCAGAGTTTCTGATGCAGATATGAATTGAGATTGTTCTAAATGGATGTTCACGTGTTCCATTTTTCATCCATGATGATCAGTTTCAGAGCAGGAGACTCTGCTTCCCTTTCTCAGACTAAGTATCAATTTTTTCTCTAATTAGTCATATTGCTTTCATTTGCTCTACTTACAGAGAAAGATACAACTCACCACAAGAAAAACAAAGAGCAAAAAAACCCCTGATCCAGGGATCAGGTTCACTTTTTAAAGGCGTGTTTGTCAAACACACCTATAAACAACTTCTATAAACAATTAAAAGCTTTCCTAAATTTGTGGGTAAAACAGAAAAGCCCTTCACAAACGCAGAAAGTATCTTAGAAGCCCCAACATTTACATAAGAGAAACACCTTTAACAAGCTGTTATACTCAGTAACTTACAGCGGCACCGGCCTCTCCAGATGGACCTTTCTCACCAGCAAAGCCAGGTGGGCCAGCAATACCTTGTTCACCAGTGCGGCCAACTGGTCCAACATCACCACGTAGACCTCTAGGACCATCTTTGCCAGCTGGGCCAGGAGGACCAGGGGGACCAGTGATGCCCTAGGATTGAGTATGAATATAACACCATTACAATATAGACCCATTAACTGGGTATATCAGAGATAAACTTCACTTTAAGTCCATGTAAAAAAAAATGTGCTTTGCAATAAACATGTTATCAGCTACTCTGATGTAGCAACTTCAATTGCTTTGTCAGCAGAGGATAACTAGAATCTGCAGAGTTATTGAACTCAGGGTTTTTTTTTAATCAGGGCAGGTGAAAGTGGCATAATTTGGTGGGAAAATATAGATTTAGCTCTCTCTGGAGACATTAATTGCAATTATAAAATCTATGAGAAAAAACCCCAAACTCTTCCAATTCAACAGGATTATTTGCTTTAGATACTGGGATTTAAAATTTATTTAAATCTAGGGTATCTAGGGAAAGAATTGCCTTTTGGTAAAGGTTGGAAACACCTTTGAAAAGAAAAATTTCAAGTGTCAATCTGGAATGAGATTTCCTGGCTGAAAAATAAATAAGCAGGGATTCACATTCTAAAACATAATGAGACATTTCCCTGCTCAAGACAGGGGCTGGAACTGCAGATAGTTTAGAAAGTGTGGATACAAGATAACCTTAACATGCTTCTGCAGATTGGACATGATGTCCTTATTCCACTCCACCAGGAATAACTGTGTAGCCATTGATTTGAATAAAAGGAAATCAACACAGATTTTGCAAATGATTGGGTACTTCAAGATGAATAAGAATGCTTGACAGACTGTAAAAAAACCCCAAGAATTAAATGCATAGATCCTGCTCAGGGAGTTTGAACAGTTAGATTTTTTTTCTTATCCAATCCTATAGGGATCTGAGATATCTAGTGCAATTAGAATTTGTGTCAATGAAACAAAACTTAGGATTATCCCTAACCAAAGCAACTTCTCATTTATCTCCCATTAGAACTTCATTAGTTACTTACAGCAGGGCCAGGAGGACCAACTCTTCCAGCAGCACCAGGGAAACCAGTCATGCCCTAAAAATCATAGTGAAAAGGCAGATTAATTTTAAAGGCAACAATAACTTCATGAAAAGCAACAATGTCAGTACCAAAAGCTTGAAGACTTACAGGAGGACCAGCATCACCACGAGGGCCAGCAGGACCAGCAGCACCAGCAGGACCCTAGGTATGAAGGATTGAAAAAGAGAGATGGATTAAGCAAAGGCAGTTAATGTTCCCTATTTACAATAAGGGCTCAGTGTCTCTCTTGTGATAGCTAAGGGTAATTTTTACTCCAGCAGGAGGATAACTGGGCCCAAAACCACACTGCCTATCCTGGTACTAGGGTATTAAATTCTCACAGACATTTAAAATCAGCATTATAAGGCCTACGAAGAGTTGCATACAAGGTATTTACGATTCAAATGAATTTCCTTGCAAATGTTATGCGCATCTAAACAAATCTGGAAGTCAAAATGTGAAAGTAGGGCAAAACCAGTAAGTCCCCCTTTTGCACTGTGTGACTTATACATCCACATAGTGCAACAGCCTGGTGTTGGTCTATTAAAATTATACAGTAAGTACCCCAAGCCACGTTATCTTGCAACACTTTATGGTATTTGAACTACCTGGGTCTGACTTTGTGCATGATTCAACCAGTTCCCCAATAATGGGCTGCATGCATGTGAAGCAGAATATAGCTTTGGGCTATAGAGCTGGTAGCACATGAAAAGCCTGTGTGCAAGTGGGTGCATGAACAAATTTCCACATGCACTTCTGGATGACTGAGTCTGAAAACTAGTCTGTGACAGCACATCCTGACTTTGAGAGAAAGGTATCAACATCCTCAGCTCAGAACTTACCCACAATCACTCCCTGGATGGTCCAAGATAGACTGATTTTGCTGATCTTCAGAGCAAGGTGAAAAGTAGGTGTGTTTTTTTTTTCTCCTTATTTCAGTTCCAGACTCACAATCTGAGCCCACATAAATAGATTGACAAAGTTTATATAATGTGTGAAAAATCAGTAAGGTGAATTTCCACACAGCCTAGTTTGTTTTGAAGTTTTGTTTCTTTTTTTAATTACTTTTTCAGAATTCAAGGCCTTCAGATTAGTGTATTGCTTGCATAGCACAGTTAAGAACTGTGCATTTTAATAAGACACAGTTCACTTACTGGTGGTCCAGAAGCACCGATTGGGCCAATAGCACCTGTTGGTCCAACTTCACCCTTAGGTCCTTTAGGCCCACGCTCGCCTTTAGCACCAGGCTGACCAGCTGCACCCTACAGGCAGAAAAACAGACAGAATAATGAGCTAGAACTCTTGTGAAGGAAAGAGAGGAATGGCATGGCATCAATATCAGGAAAGCACAAATAGAACTCACAGGGGGTCCAGCAAATCCACTTGGACCTACGGGACCAGGCTCACCGCGTTCACCCTAAAGAGAGAACAAAGAAGAGAGGACTGGTTGGACTGGGCTTTAAAAGGGCAGTTTTCTGAACATCATGTCTTTGAGACAAGAATAGTTGCAGAAATTGCTACTTACAGGGATACCACGGGCACCAGCAGGACCAGCAGGACCAGCAGGGCCTCCTTCACCCTTAAACAGATAGCAGAAAACATTATGACACTGTGGAGAAAGGCCTTGCTGTAATCAGAATAGGGGTGACCTTGTGGTACTGGTGCATGTAGTGAGTCCCCTGTGTCTCTACTGGAGGGGATGTTACTGAAAAATGCTTCTTTTTTGACCCACCCTGTATTAATAATTTCTAACAATTCTCAGACAGGATCATTCTGAGATAATGTATGGTTATTCATCACTATATCAAAACCCCTTCTCACAGTGTGAGAAGGGTTGTGGAGCTTAACTTTGACTGGGAAGATTTCAGCCAAAGCCTGAATCAGAATCTTCTCCCCATATAACACAGTATCATGTACATGTGCATCACTTCCCTGCCCTTTTAGGAAAAGGTTTGGGATCCTATGGCAAACTTTGCTGAATAGTCCCAATAAATTTGCCTCCCAAGTCTGAAAAATGTACTGAACTTGTGCACATTGGAAAGATGGAAATCATCTTTAATGTTCACACGTGGGCAAACTGCATAAACAAACAAGACACTTTTTCATTCAAAGAGTAGACTTACCCGATCACCAGCACCACCAGCAGGGCCAGGAGCACCAATAGCACCAGGGAGACCCTGTAGGTCAAGAGACAGGACACCATTTCTAACAAAATGTGAGTAGGAGCAAGTACTTTAAATAATTTTTCTCTTTCCTCCTAGAGAAAGGTGTGTAACTTTCTTCCAGATGTTTTCAAGATAAAGGACACATGATCTATTCTCTTATTTTCCTTTTCAATTATTATTGTTATTATTGTTATTTCCTTCCCAAGTATTAATTCTAGGACAGGCACCTTAAATCTCAAATTAATGATAATTTTTGTGTAGCTTTGCAGGCTGCCTTTAGAATTAGCTGTCTGGGTTGAGCTCATGAAATCAAAGAAGATAATGTCACAGTGAATAGCTATGCAATACAAGGTTCTCTGCTCGTGTAATTTCTCTGCTTGGATGCATGAGAAGTAAACACTTTTCTCTCTTTCTCCCCCTAAATTCAAACATCCCTGGACAAAGGGGCAACAAAATCACATTGATTTGTATTAAAATAAGCAGAAAGAAGCAGTGACACAATAAGGGGGAAACTTAAGTCCTGAACATCCTTTTCAGTCACTGAAGTTCTGAGGTGCAGCAAGGTAAACTCAAGTAGAACCAAAAGATACTCACACGAGCACCGTCTCTTCCTGTTGCACCCATATCACCTCTCAGACCTGGGGCACCCTAGAATACACAGAGGGGAGAAAAGCATTATATTGGTAATGAACACAGCAGTTTGTATGAAAGAAGTCTTGAACTGTTTGCTGGGTACCTGTGTGTTACTTGCACATCATACAAGATGCTTATAATACTAGGGTATTTTTTGGGAATGGACTTTGATTATTATTTCATTCTTATTTCTGAGTATATACTGACTTGAAAAGTGAAAATTTGCAAAGAGGATTGACATGCTTTTCAGAATTATAAGTCTGCTTCTTTCATGGGAAACCTATCTAGTTTCTCCAAGATACCAAGAATTTTGGATGGAATTAAAAATTCAAAACCAAGTTGATGTATATTAC